GAGGTCCTAAATGTTCTTCCTTGAGCTGCGTCACCCCGCTGTAGTCTGTAATGGACTGGCCTGAGGCCTCGTTACAAACAAGTGGCTGCTGGAAGAGAGTGGGTGAGTCGTGTTTAGTCTCTTTGCTAAAGAAATCAGGCAAAGCTAAAAAGATGTTTGATTTCTAGTACTATGGCTAGGACCCTATATGTACTGTTGATAAAGTTAGGCGCTGTTCTGAGCATTATTCGTGGCTATAGAGTGGCGTTTTGGTTGAGGTTTGTGTATGGCTTCTCAGACCGCTGTGTATTGCTATCGTGCGGTCGTTACTAAAGTTGGTATAACTAGAGAAGCAAGCGGTCGGAAACGTTCATCTCTGGAGGGGGTGTCGAACTCAGTGTTACGGTGTGTTTGACCCGAAATTAGTTTTACGCCAGAATATCCCTTTAACAGGATGTAACCCAATGGTGAACCTACTGTACTCTACATGTAAGGGGACTTGAAAATCAGCCAAAGAGATCAGGAGTAATTCCTGCCTCTGAATCAAATCAACAACAATAATAATACAGTTTGTCTAAAATGTGCAGCTGCTGTTTTCAGTTCATTTTAATTTCACACTGAATGTGAAGCCTGTTCAGCTCATTGCATTACAATTGTTGCGAGCATTAGTATATGGATGGTGTTTTAATGATTTAATGACATGCAAGCTGAAGCAAGAGACTGGCTAATCTAATACTGCTTATGCAAATTCAACTTGTACACAGACTTTTTGCACACATATTTTAGCAGAGATCAAAGTAGCCATGTAGTTGAGTTGCAAAGCATTACTCCAGGCTGATTGACCAAGCTGCTGCTGTCTCTCCATGTGATGATGGTTGCTGCTGTCACTTCTCTAATTCAACACCAGCTGGCTTTTATCTGTCTCCATCTTGCTTCATGGTTTTGGTTAATCTTATTCCACTGCCAGTCGCTGTTTTTTTAATCTGTCACTTCAATCTGCTCCCTTTTTCTGCCTCTGATGCATGTAACACAGGTGCTTTTAAATCAGGGCCAAGATTATTGTTAACACTCCCAAAGACAATGACGGCAGCCTAGGTTCAGCTCTGGGATATAAATCAGTAAAATGTACAGAAGACATGTAGTCTATTGTTGGCGCTCAGCTGGAGGTTCAAGATTGGAAATAGGAGAAAATCATCATACATTTAAAGTGAGTATTGGGGGCTAGTATCAATCATTGGGGAGCTTTGGCATACAAATCAGCCCTTCTCCTCCCCTTCACACCGACCATGACATCCTGACAGTTTGGTAATGGAGTAGGGACTACAGAAAAGCTTTATCAGCAAACTCATATTCTTTCCCTGCAGATGTACATTACAGTGCGAATTTACAGCCGGAAAGTGAGAAGTTTTCAGGAGAGAGTCTCCAAGTGGTGGATCGTGATTGATGCACTCACTGCTCTGCACATCTGTTGTTGCAGAAAGACTATTCACTCCCACAATCCTTTCATCTATTCACAATGAATGATTTTTCTCATTATCATTTCAACAAATGAAGATTTCTATCGGTCCCAGAATTAAATTTCGACACAGTTCCCACAGTTCTCCCTCGAAATTGTCATGATTCTGCCCTCACACATCACATTGTTAATTGTAGCCTGTGATGTGTCAGGCGCTCCACACCAGCTCTGGTAGAAAGGCGGGGATGACGCATGCATGCATGCTGTTGTAGTCCGGTGACCCGCTGTTCCAAGATACAATACCAGCCAAGAAGAGATGTGAGGGATTTGGTCATCCTGAGACCGTTTAGTGATGTAGAAAGGAGAGACAACATTTAATTGCCACAACATTTTCTTTTGAACCTTATGTGTGTTACTGTGTTTCCTTAAGGTTTTAACTCCACTTACACCGACCATTTTTCAGCCAGTCTGATTTCAACAAGAGCAAGACTTTCTCTGCCTGGTGCTAGTTGCATTAAATCTCATTATTGCAGGATCTATTTATAATTTAATCACTGTAAACCTTTTTTTAACATTGCAACCCACTTGTTTACATTTCATCCATGACCCAGTCCTGCATGAGTTAGCAAACAGACTGAAAAAGCAGTCACTCTTCAAAACAAATTGCAGTGTGCTGCTGGATTGCCAGTGACAGATTCCCACTACACCCCTCTACCCACAGCGCACCTCTCCCAAGGATAATGTCACCTCCACAGAAAACAGGTTTCACCCTGTGCATGCAGCCTGCACAAAATATGGTCATCTGGTCCTTCTACCATCAGTCTCTATGAGCCATCATCCTGCCTCACAAAGTAAAAAAAAATGTATCAGGGATGATATTCCAGACTGTAGTTTCATGAAATATAATGGAGGCTTGATTAGGAATTCAATTAGTACAAATACATTTGCCCTTTTTCGTATGATGCCCTCTCTGGGCTTTTTCATCAAGAGAAAAAAGAAACACAAAGAAACCTGTACATTTACTCCTCTCATCAGCGGATGCACATAAGCAGCAGTCAGCATCAGACAGATGGGATATAAGGTATAAGGTATACTGGTATCCTGGTACTTGTGTTGGTTCAATAACAGTACATGTACACAAAAGGTTTAAGAAGTTGTTAGAGGAACAACAAAACAGGTAAAAAGTTGTGTTGTGTAAAAAAAAAAAAAAAACTCTCCAAACTAACAAGGTTTATGTGATGGAGTATTAGGGCCACATTAAGAAGAATAAAAAAATGACTTTGAGATTAAAGTCATTAGTAAAGAGAATGAAGTCCTAGTAAAATCTTTATTTACGAGAATACAGTCCTAATAAGATCATTACTTACTAGGATAAAGTTGTAATAAAATCATTTCTTACATGGATAAAGTCTAAAGTAAATGAAGTCATAAAGCTGCTTTTGTGGAGGAGGAAATGACTGGAGCTGGTCAACTGCAGAGTTATCTATGGATGCATCAGTGGGTCCATGATGTAGTTTCTCAAGAAACAATCCAACTGATGATCAACATTTGAGATACGGAGGGAGTCGAGCTCTGCCGAGCACCGCGTCTGTCTCTGAAGCCGGCACAACACCGGCAGCAGCCTACACCTGCAGAGGCACCAACACCTTAGAGCATACAGATCCATATGATAAACTAAAGCCATATGCTATTACTATAAACGGCTGCATTGAGGGATTTAGCCTCTGCACAGCCATTTCCCCCTCCTCAAAAACAGCGATTCCCTACAAGTCCACCTTGTTCTTTCTGCAGAAAAGATGCATTTCTTGCATATGTCCTGATACTTATGACAACGTGATGCTCAAACGCCAAAGGATTTAGTATCTCCTTGACTGTGAAACCTAGCTACTAAAGTTCAGTTAATCTAAATGCTCCACAGCGCTCATTTAAACACTTAACAGGTTAGAATAGCTATTAGCTACGACTTTATTCTCGTAAGAAATTACAAAGTCTTATGTTTTTTTCTTAATGTGGCCCTAATACTCCGTCGTAGGTTAATATCTAGAGGGCCATTTTATAAATACACTTAAAAAAAATCTGTTTCTATAATTGCCACAAGCATGCAAGTGTTCCAATAAGTCTTTTTTTCCCACTGCTTTCATTCATGTGTAAATAGGTTTTACATTTTTTCAGAGATTAAAGGATAGATTTATTATGTAACAGGCAACCTTTTGAATATGTTCGTACATTACAGCAAATACGGCAGATTGTGGGTGTTGATCAGCTGTTAAGAAATAAAACATTTACACAGAGATGATCACTAAAACATCAGTATGGCAGCATCAGAAACATGTTCTGAATAGGCGTGTGTTGCCAACTTGGTCTTAAATGAAAAAAAATCAAGCAAAAGCTTCTTTTGTGTGGTTGTGAAACTGAGAGCAAAAGTGAGAGATGAGCATATCTGGTGTTGCGATCTGTGCTGCGCTGAAAGGCTGAGATGTTGCGGACAGTAAAATCAGTTGAAAACGCTTCGCTGTAACAGGACACCGGCACGACTTTGTGTGAGAACAGATGTGTGTGAGAGTTTGTGTGGGAATAATCTGGGTGCTTACTGTCTGGATTTATTCTTGTTTGCATTAGAGTGTGAATTTATATGCTTCGGTGTACAAGATGCAGGCTGACAGTGGCCACAGTTTCAGAGGGTGTTCATGCAGCAAACAAGCAGCTTTGTGAAGAAATGTAAGGGGCTGTGTGCTGGAGCACGGTGTTGCTGCAGGTGCCGCAGAGGTGATGAAACCTCACAGCCAGGGATTTGCATCCTGCCAATTTAAAAACTGTCATCACCCTCACTTGTAGCCGCCTGCCAGTTACCATATATGTGTATATATCCGAGTATATATGTACCACATGCAGGCACAGTTCAGTGGAGCTGAAGTTAAAGCTCAATAAAGTGATTTAACGGGACTACTGTCTTTGTCCTGGTCTATATGTATAGTTTAAGGCTGTGCACAGGTTGACCGATTATGTCGTGAGCCAAAACATTCGACAAAAGCAGCAACAAGAAACCAACAGGTTGTATGTTGGCCTGTAAGACACTACAACTTTAGATCTCTGTGCCTTTTGTGTGTATGATGGGACAGCTCCAATCCCTTTTTCAGTGTCGTTTCTCTACCCGTCAAGGTTGTGTTTACTATTACTCTCTAATATTTTGAGAGCTTTGAGAGTTTGGTCAAAAGTGCAACTTTTTCATAGAAAGCTGGTAGGGAAAGTGAATTTATGAGCATCAGTCTCCCTATTTTATCATTGTTATAACCTCAAAGCCAACACAGTAGCGGCAGATGGCTGACCAATATGAGTCTGGTGCTGCTCAAGGTCTCTGCCTGTTAATAGGAAGTGTTAAATCGCCACTGTAACTTGCTAAGTTCTGCGAAGTGCTACACTCATAGTCGATGAAGATGGCATCAAAGTGGGTCTGATATTATAAGATGGGGCTTAATCATGTCATCATCTTGACGCCTGAAGACTTTGGTCTAGACCAGCTATTTTGGTGCAGCGTCTTCAGATAGCATTTGTCGTGAATTGGCCCTCTACAAAGACTGCGTGATTAATTGATTGACATCAATTTTTTTTCCTGTATTTCCTTGGTAACCTCAGTGTGTGAAGCGGCAACACAGAGGAAGGTGTTTCGCCTTTCCCACAATGCTAACTACAGTCTGAACACATTTACAGTGGGACCAACAGTCAATGCTACAGGAAATCTGTAGTATAAGCAAAGTTAGAGTAACAATAGTGGGAGGAATATGAGAAGATCCATAAGAAAGGAAAAGATTGACAGGCTGCTGAAGAGAGATCACAGAGCTATTAAAGAGAATGATATTGAAAACTGAGCACGACTGACTGCAAGGCTTCAGAGCACTCACAGCCCACTTGCTTGTTCCTCCTTTTGCTCACATATTCTCTGCCCAAGGAGACAATTTTAATATCAGGACTGAGCAGAACAAACGCTCTTATTCACAATATCACTTTGTTTCATATCAGAGGAAATGTTTCACAGTTACTGCGAGTATTACTTTCTATCATTTTTGTATTTTAATGAAATGATAGAAAAGCAACGAGGCCAAAAAAAAAAAACCTCCCACTGTTCACAAAGTGAAGTGACAGTAAGAATGCCGACAGAAATTCACAGACAAAAAATAAAATAATAAAAAAGATGTAAAAGCTACATCCTTCATATCAAAATCCTAATGTGTTTGATAATTTTCAGACAGAATTGATGACATTTTAAGTCAGCTAACTGGCATTTCAAAGTGTCTCCGGCAGAGAATGTGACACATACATAGAAAAGAGAGGTATTTTATTATCACTGATTCTGAAAGGAGTATTGAGTCAGGGGTGCATTTTTGCATATTTTGTTTCTTTCAAAGATTGCTGTTAAGGGAGCAGAAAGGAGTGACATGTTTTCTCGTCTACTCTTTACACAAACAAATCTCTCTCATAGGCGCCCAAAGAAATGGAACAGAGTAATGAAGACATGCTGCATGAGCTCAGCTGTGTCTTTTTTTTGTGTTGTTCCTCGTCTTGCTGCTGCTGTCATGGTCTTAACATGATTTTGCTTTAAGGCAAACTGAGACCTATAATCAAGAGCAATTGAGTCAGTGAGCTGATGTTTGTCCTTTGTTAGCTGTAATTGAGGTCTCAATACTGTCTCCATCCCTACCCTCGCTGACAGGATACTGCTTTGCTGTCAGGATCTCTGTAATGGGTTCCTCTTGTCAAATCAGGCACATGCATGAAGAAATGCACACTGCAAAGAGACACTGGAATTTCATCACATGCAAACCATCACTCCGACAGACACATGCAACATTACACAGAAGTGTGGGAAACCCAACAATGAAGATGCAGTTGCTTTAAACTGACCTTGACGTGGATTCATCCAATGCTTTTGCAGATCAAATAAGAGAAAGAGCACCTGGGTCAAAGACGTGCAAAGTATTTGGCTAAAGATGACTCACGCCGTGTACAGTATGGGCTTAAGCTTCTAGGGAAGGGAAAAATGCCAACCTATAAGTGGAGCGCCAACAAATGATGCAAATGTGCTGACTTCCTCACTGCAGCCTGGTTGTGTTGACATGGATAGGGCTTAAATCACTGGGCAGGAGTCCAAAGCTGGCTTGGACCACCACATCTGTCCAATAATACCCTGGGTAACACTCCCTCTTATCTTGATGACAGGTGCTGCGTCAGCTACTAGAACGCTGATGTCTCAGGTCTGCTTCTCATTTTACGAAGACAATTTAGGTCTGAGATGTTGTATTATCAAGGGGTGAGTTAAACGACTTTGGTTCCATTAAGAGTAAAAGTAAGGAGTCAATCAGACTGCAGACTTGTCACCTGATTCCTGTTTTAGCCATGCTTGCAGTTTGCATACGGGGATGTCAGCTTAATGGTTTCCTCTTTTTTTGGTATGAAATATGTCTCTTACCCCTAATTTCCACTGTATCCAGAACGGCTCCACTACAGTGATTTTTGCCGTCCGCCAATTCCCACCTGATCTGTTTGTGAGGGGAATTTCATGGCAGATTACGGACAGTGGGAATCGCAAGAACTCGCAAATTCACATGCAATCACACGATAATGAGTTGTCTCTACAAAGACAGTCACATAACCATATAAGCAGCAGATTGTGTCCTTACAGAGGAGGAAATCCATTTCTAGACCTCTAGAATCAGGATCTCCTCATCCATGGTGTCAACGTGGTGAGATGCTGTCTGAAAACCTTTAACTTGTCCCTGCCCATTTGCATGGTGTGAAATATGATCTGCCTTAAACACATAGTGTTTTATTTAGAAAAGAAAAAAAGGCTGGACCCCGCTGATCAACAGTGGAATGGAAAGAAGCTGGTGCAAATTGACACATTAACTTGAACGGAAACGATTAGCTATGATTGGCAGATACAGCCTTTTTGCAGCCGTTCTAGATGCAGTGGAAATTGGGGTTGACTGTTGCATGTATTGCCATAAAGTTTGGTGCAGTCACTCATGGTCTTCGGGAATGGTCTGTTTTTACAGTAAGGTTTTCATATAACTTGAATAACAACAACTAGATTTTCCAGTTTGGCGGAAAAGATCTTCTAATAATTTCAAATGTATGTTTAATATGATTATTTTTCTGCTGAATAAGTTAGTAAATATGTTCCATGGATACACCTCTAACAGTTAAATGAGGGGCAGCTGGGGCCTATTAAAGGTTTGTTCACTCCTGATTGTTCTACGATCATCTTGTATGGAGATTCACAGCCAGTCATTGTGTTAGAGATCGGCTGAATAAAAGCCAGAAATCGTATAAAGCTTTGGATGAAAACTTTAGAAAAATGCTGCCTTGATTTGAAATGTGCCAGATTTGTGGACCTACTGTGGCCTCTGAATGGTAAAAAAACAAAAAACAAAAAACAAAAAAAACAATCAATAAAAGCAGCTTTTAACAGCAACAATGGCAAACACGGAAGAAAGAGCCCCTTGTCAATTGAATGGATACATCAAAGAGTACAAAGGCTAAGATTATGCGCTAGAAAATCTCGAGCCTTTGAGAGTTGTCACAGAAAAAAGACTTTTGCGTTTATAATGCAGGTTGTTTTTAAAAGCACATACACAAAAGAAACTCAGCATCTTTAATATGCATATACTTTATATAAAAAAAAAAAAAATCAAAGTTGAAACCAGTGGTCATCCCAAAGTTTTTTAGTGCAGTGGCTTGGTTTGAAATAGGTTAAGATCGGTAAAAACTTAACACTAAAGGGACACCTCTCTAACCTGATGTTGTCTATTTGATGTCTTTATGTTAAAAGTCCAACCAGACCTTACATTTCTATCAACGCTCACTTGACTTTAAAGTCATTGTTGGAGGTGACACTATTTTGGTGCCTAGAAAGTCAATCTAAAGTTTAGGATCTCATGGGGCGCTCACACCAAAGTGTGAGTAAAATTATCTACTCGGTTAATTCGCACAAATCTAGACGTGAATAAAAAGTATTTACTTGCTTCATTTGCGGTCAACGGTAATTTCATCAGTAACTTCTGCCAACTCAACTGGCGGGATCAAGTGATAGACAAAGGTTTTTATCAATTTTCCAGGTAATCCGACCTCCTCACTCACTTGCCTCCAGGCGAGCTCCTTTTTATTCCGGTTTCGATCATTGAAAGATTAGTTATCGTGACGCCAATATCCGGTCGAGTTGAGATTCGCTCAATTCGAGATTCGCTCAATTTGTGTCATTCCCGCCACTGGAGTCGTAGGAGTATCTAACCGTGTCTTTGCATTAAATTAACATGTAATTCATTTGTGCAAATGATTTTACTCATGCTTGGTGTGTGGAGACAGCCAGATTGTGTTTATGTGTTTGATGAGTTGGGGATAAGAATGTACTGTAAAGTTTATTCAGTCCTTGTGCAGATGAAGTTCTCTGATTAATTCAAAGACGGGTTTAAAGAAGGGTTTTCAAAATGTGTAGAAAAAAGTAATGGCATGTGTGAGATAGTTTTGATGAAATGAGGATGGGATAAACAATAGTGTCGAGATCGAAGGTAGACTTAAGGATGGGTGGCAAGGAGGTTATTTGAGAGGCAGCAATTCTGCAGGAGAGCAGTGTGGTAGTGTTGTTTGTAGTAATGACAGCTATTCAGATGATGCAGGGCTGAGAGAGAGGCGAGGTTTAGAATTAGGTTTGACAACCACAGGTACACAGTAAGCCAGAGTAACAGCGCCAGCAGGATAGAAGAGTAAAACGGGGAGGAGAGGAGACAGAAGAGATAGAATCAAACTGAGAGCGAGTAAAAGAGGAGAGGGGGAAGTATCAGTTTGCATTGATAGAGAACGTGCTTTTTTTTATGTGTCCTCCTCCCTAATGCTACTTACTCTGAGCCTGATACCCACCACTCAACCTCCCCCCTTAAGCCTCCCCTTCTCCCTCATTTTTGCCTTGTTTTCTCCCTGCGAGTTTGTTCATTTGATAGACGAGGTAATTACCAGAGAGTGTAGAAGGATCCCCACCTGAGAGGCTCGGTGCATGTGTGTGTGTGTGTGTGTGTGTGTGCTTTTGAGTGTGTGATCCAGTGTAATTATAAGGGATTAAGATGTTTATCACAATGCTGTTGTTAATCTTGCACACAAAAGCGTGCAAACACCCATATACACACACATTCCCAGAGTGATTCATACTAAAACACGGATGCGAGAAGCGCTGGCTTTCTGTTAGTTAACACGTTTGGGACTTCACAATTTCTGGTATTTGAGAGCAGAGATGCTTTCCCTTTTCTTTGATTATGCTATGATTGTTTTTTGTAAAAAGGATTTTGGCTGGAGAAGTTTCTACAAACAGCTCATAATGTTGTAGATTTTCAATTTGTGATACTTTTTCGAGTTGGACAATTAAATAGAGTGAAAACTTGTGGGAATCTCAGCCAACTTTGAATTCAATTATGAAGATTTTATGGCAACACTTCCTTTGGCTTCGTTTAATTAAATTATCCTTACTTTCCTTTTCACCTGCTTCTTATCTGGCCACCATTGGCCAAATGAATTCCTTAAAAAAACATCATTAACTGAGTGTTTTTGTAGAGTTACCAAACCTTGGGTCTGAGTACACAGCGTCAACTTTCAGTCCAAACCATCTTATGTATAAACTCCAGCTGAAGCTGTGTGACTTTTTGGGTGTAAAAAAATAAACTTCTTTGATTAGAATTGGAGTTTCTGGAGATTAATTCATCAGTGAAGATACAGTGCTGTATTTGAGTATTCCTTTCTTCAGAGGGAGATACTCTCATTTTTACATCTGGAGCTGCTTCAATGCATATGTCAAAGAATCTCAATTTCCTGTAACCAACCCAACTTTAGATCAGAAATTTAACATAACAAACAGCTTAGACAGCTCTTGTTGGCTAACAGGTTGCTGAGAATTACTTTTTCAACTGTTCTAGCATCTCACTGGCAAACGTAAGCATCCCATCCATCCTCCATTATCTTTCAAATTAAGGATGGTAGAAGCAAGCCACCTGTATTTGCACATTGAGAGATGATTCACTAGATTTATTGTGAATCCAAAAGCAACGTTAAAGCTGTTCCCTCTTTGGGTTGCTAATCAATTAAACATTTGTACTTCCTGACCCATTCATTCATCTTTTTTCTTTCAGTTCTGTAATGTAAGACCCGAGTAGAAGTAGTAGACTTGAAAATGAATAAATTGTTGGGCATCGTCTATATTTATAATTGAGTCTTATTCCCTTCTCTCCATGTTGTGCCTCCAAGTGCACTTAGTGCTCAAGTCTGAGTTCAAGTGCGAGTCAACAGTTCATCATGCAACATACATGTTTACACATCATCAGTAGGTACGATCACGCTCGTACCTTTTTAATCTTGCAGCCAGTGCAAAAAAACATTATTACTTTGGTTCATGTCCGTCTCCCTCATGGAGTTGTGGGACTCAACCATATATTGCATAAAGCTTCTCTATAAATAGCTGACAGATGAAATAATGATTTGCTTTGGTCCCCCTGAGTGCTTTATCACCCTGTAGTTTGGCCCACACAGCTTCAAGACTAATTTACCATTGTTTTCATTAGCATATTCTTGCATCTTAAATCCATCCACAGCCTATTTATTAGCCTTGAGGTTATCTAGGTCACAGTATACACTGTGTGCTAGGAAGCAGCTGGTTGGTATAAAGGGATTGAGGGATTATGTTCCTCCTTCTCATTTGGAGAGATGTGTGCAAAAAGTACTCGAGGTGTTATGGCTGGACTCAGAGATGTCATTAAGTGACACCTGTTAGTAATGCTTTCTAATGCTTGTTATGAGGATCAACAGCAGGCAAGAAGTTGCCTCAGCGCTCTTTAAAGAAGAAGCAGGTGCATAAATAGTACAATCTCTCAGGAGCCTCCAGCCTTTATCTCTAAAAGATAACGATATTTTCTGCATATCCGTACATTAATGACTATGTCAACCAAAATATGATCATACCACACACCACCTTTTGCCAAGTCCTCCCCCTTTTAATTCATCCTCCTCTTTTCCTCCTGAATGTCTGTGTACCTCTCTGTCCCGTCAGTGCAAAATAAAATTGAAACATTCAGTGAAAATCCGACATCCTTCACCTGATATGAACCTTATTATCCTGCTCAGAAAGTTATTAAGCTGTTGCTTTCAATGAGCCTAAACTGCTTAGTGGAAAATTTTAAGTCCATCTTGCTCGAGGAGAAACTGAATAAAAAATTAGTTGCCTGATGATTTCAACTACGCCCGTGCCACCCACCTTTTGGCCTCAGTGACCTAAATCTTCTGTGAGTTCACTGACAAAATGATTAAATTCTGACTGCAGTTGTTCCTCTAAACATTTCAAATAAACATAAGGTCATTGTGGTCCACTGAAAGGTTAACTGCTTAAAGGAAGAAATCATCTCACTACACCCTCATCCCGATAAGAAGAAAAATCATCACCTCTATGGTCCCCAACCTGAAAGCTTGAAGACAGATGGGAATAAATTGGCAGGACCAAAAGTCATCAAGTGGGCTCCTCTCTTCAGTGGTGTTATGTTAGCTCCAGTGTCCCAAAACCACCCTCCTCCATGCTAGCTCTCACCTCCACACACCAACATAAAGAGAGAAAGAGAGGAGGATGTTGAGTGATAATAGGAAGAGCATATGGGTGGCAGAATCAGAATGAGAAGGGTCTGTTTGGACTTGCCATCTACCCCCACCATCTTTCCCCATCTACCACCCACTTTAAAGCTTTCACCATTGCCTTTACTTCATTATGGATGCTAAATTTGACAAGAAGTCATTGCAAACAAACAAATGGATGTTAAAGAGATATTCCGGCGTAACATTAATTTAGATCATCTCTATAATCTTTTCCTCATGGAAATGCAATCAGACCGAGTCGCTGAGGCAGAAGAACTCCCGTGTCTGCAGTGCAAAATGATCAATGTGGTGATTATTACTTCAAGGAAATGATAAAGAAATGATCATAAATGTTCTTCCTTGAGCTGCTTCATCCTGCTGTAGTCTGTAATGGACCCGCCTGAGGTCTCGCTACAATCAAGCGGCTGCTGGAAGAGAGTAGGTGAGTTGTGTTTAGTCTCTTTGCTAGTGAAATTAGGCAAAATTAAAAAGATGTTTGGTGGCTAGTGCTGTAGCTAGGACCCTATATGTACTGTTGATGAAGATAGGTGCTGTTCTGAGCATTATTTGTGGCTATAGAGTGGCTTTTTAGTTGAGTTTTTTTATGGCTTCTCAGACCGCTGTGTATTGCTATCGTGCGGACGTTACTGAAGTTGGTGTAACTAGAGAAGATAGTGGTCGACAACATTCATCTCTCGACGGGGTGTCGAACTAGGTGTTACAGTGTGTTTGACCCTAAATTAATGTTATGCAAGAGTATCCCTTTAAGGTTAATTTGATTCTGTTTATTACAAAACAACAGAATCAAGGGGAAATGGGAAACCAGCTCTTCTAAAGGAGAGCTGCTTTGTATTATTTATGTACTAAAGTTGGCTCTTGAAGCCAAGTGGTTTGCAAACAACACATCAGCAGTCCCAAGGATAACCACTGTAACAGGTTGGTTTGCAATGCACACACACAAGTTGCAAACCTGACAGTATGATGAACGAAGCTGGCTCCAGTGTGGTGCAATGCAACTTTACAATAAAGGGTGTCTGTAGCTAATCATTCATATTCCCAGGCTGTTCTGTGATGGATGACCTACTGTCCTCTCCTAATGAAAAACATGAACACACTGCTGTAATCACATCTATGAATACAAGTGAAAATCCATAATGCTTTGCACTGGCCACCAAAACAATCAATGTCCAGCCTACACCTTTGTGCTCAGCACTGTAAACGCAGGCCTGTTGCTGCAGGTAACAGGACAATAGATCCAGGCCAATAAAAAAACAAAACCAAATTTGGCTGCCAAGTGGGTTCAAATTGGACAGGAGATAAAGTGGAAATCTAACAGGGGAGGACAGAGATAGCAGAGGGAATAAAGCAGAGAGACAGGGCTGAGGAGGTGATCACGCTGAGAATAACGGTGAGCCATCAATATGAAATCATAAAAGATAAAGTTAGAATGAAGAGCTTTCAGATGATGGAGGGATAGACTAGCAGGGACAACAAGGAGAGAGGTTTGCAGAATGATCACACTGACAGAGACAGGGTATCAGAGTAGGTGATAAAAACTGCACAGGGGATTGTACAGAGCTATGATGTTGATGTAAAGACGAAGGGCAGGATGTCTTTCCCCTTGTTAGTCTTGTTTTTTTTTTTTACAGAGTACTACAAGTAACAAACCCTGGATTTTGTGCAGCAGGTCTTCAAACTACATACTGTGACTAAAACACTGACAGAAAACCCCAAAGAAACATTTTCTAAGTGGAATTCTAGATGGGAATCAGCTACACTGTGGTCTGAGCACCCTTACTTGTCATCTTACTACGTCACTGTGTGCGCAGTTGATCATAATCACCATATATTACCAGGCTACTATGGGGATGATATTTTTAGATGATGATTGGTGGGTAATATCAGAGTATCAATACGCTTGATTCAACATCGAGACACTGAGGAAAGTTTGGGAGGAATTCGTCATCGCCACAAACCTCACGGTGAAAAAGACAAAGCTCCATATGTAGAGATTACAAAACTTTTAAGGTGTGTGTGTGTGTGTGTGTGTGAGAGAGAGAGAGTAGTCACTGAGTTTTTTGTGCGCACATTTGTTAGTCTGTCTCTGCATTTTTTGGGTTTACAACTTAACAGATCTCCAGGCTGTTATGCTGCTTTTGAAGAAACATTATTCGGGGGAATATGCAAAGTGTTTGATGTTTTAACAGGAAGCCACACACACACACACACACACACACACTTTCTCTCTCTCTCTCACACACACACACACACACACACACACACACACACACACACACACACACACACACACACACACACACACACACAAAGACACAGGTCCAAAATCATTGATACCCTGCTACTGGAAGATTGTCTTGCTAGCATTAGAGATTATACATACAGGATGACTATTAGTAATACAGTATAATGCTGCGTTCCAGTTGTACTCAGAAGTCCGAATTTCCGAGCCACGAGTCAGAAATTCATCTGGAACACACCCCTGAAGTCTGATTTTACGACTCGGAAAGGCGGACAAACTCCCCACCAACCCCGACTTGACGACAACGTCATAATCCAAGATGGCAGCGCAGTGCATCAACAGTAAAGAGTAACAGTGAAAGCTTTTGTAATGTATTATTTATTAGCACTTCTATTTTGTTTTTGTGAAATTAAATAAGTGGTATATGTTGTTTTGCCCAACGTCTAACTGTGAACACGGTGCTATGGTGTTTGTAAGAGTAAAATACTGTGTTGTGTGTTGTTTACAACTGGTATAGCTGACAACAACTAACAACAGCTGACAACTAACTACAGCTGACAATTGTAAACAACAGCTACCAACGCCTAACAGTAGGCGTCCATCTTGGTTTTCCGACTTGTTAACTGGAATGCCATCAACTCAGGTGTAGCGTCATTCCCAGCTCCGACATCCGACTTCTAAGGTAACTTGAAACGCAGCATAAGTAACACCTGTGCTTTTACATACAGAATTTCCAAAAAGTATGAATTTAAACATCGTTAACCTTAACTCATGAATATTTTTGTTTGTATTAAGACATGCTGGTGTTATCTACATATGGTATTACATGATCCCTGCAGTATCACAGCGAAGCGTCCTCCACTCTTATCCTTGGTGTGCTCCATTGTGTAGTTAAAAAGTTACAATGTCATACTCCAATGATTTTTTTTTGTGTAATCTTTTTTTCTCTTTTGTGTGTGTGTAAGAGAGAGAGCTAGAGGGAGAACGAGAGAACAGGGATTGTCTATCGCCTCAGCAGAGGGACCTTGCTGTTCTGTAAATGGAGCCTGGCCCGCTGCAGACTCTGGCATTGGCGTCAGATCCACACAGAGAAAAAAATTGAAGGAGAGGGGTTGGTGCTTGTGGTGCAAGGACAAAAACAAAGAAGAATACACCCGGCGAAAAAAGGGGAAACAGGGAGAGACGAGTCTGCTGTGCCTTGATTTGAATCTGATAGCGAAGCATTCTACGTAAAGAGCCTTGGCATGCTGGCATTGATAGAGAGACTGAGCAGATGGAGAAGGACATAAAGTATCAGCAGCGTACCAAGGAAATAAGAAACAACAGGAATGAGGGAGATAAAGGTGCAACAAGGCTACCGTTGATTAGTGGCGTGCTTTCAGCTGCAGGTTACAGTATGTCACCAGTCTTTTTTCCTGACCATTAAAAACAAAATGCTAAATGCCAGCTGTTAGGTTGGCTAGATTTCAACGGATCGTTTTACTTCTTGTTGCGTTTACTCCTTAGGTGACAAAAAATGGTAGATTTAAATAAATGAAATGACAAACAATGCTGACTAAAATATGAAAACTTTCCTAAAACAGTCACATGCCTTTTAATTCTTACCAGGATCCCATCAATTTTAAGGATCTTACAAACATACTGTTTACTTTTTGGCTCATAGCTGCCCCACAGACTAGAAGTATCCTCTTCCTAAACTGAAACCTATGGGGAGAACCAGCATTTCTGATCAATTAATAGCACATGAAGAGGCCAGAAAGGATTTTCTAGCTCCAAAAAGTTTCAGAGCAAAGTCTTGGTAGTGAAGTGTGTCTTCCCGCACAGCTGCACCTTTCAGAAATATGCTCAGAACTGTCTTTGTTCATCCAGAAACCCTTCAGGCTGTCCAGGAGAAGCATCAAAACCCTGCTCCAGATGTTCCTCGCTGTGGAATGAGCCACTACATCGAGGCGCTGGTCACTGTTCACTGGCTTGCGTGAGAAGCTTTGTGTAAGGCACCAGCTGACATCTTAGCCATGCCAAGAGCCAGAGTTGGCAACAGTGTGCAGGGAGTGATGACTCTCCTCGTAGGAGAAAACCAGACTCTTGAGCCAGAGGGGATGGGGGACAGGCTTTGCTTGGGTTACTGGCCTTGAGGCTTTCTGGTCCACAGCTTGGTGTCACATCAGGGCTCTCCCTGAACAGCAGAAAGAAATGCTATGGGAGCCTTGAGTGCCTCTGCATGGTGTATGCAATGCACTTTTCACATTTCCATTGCCTCAGCCATGTGACATGTCCTTTAAAAGGAGGAAGGTGACAGGATCCTCCCGATAGCTTCACTTATTAAGGGTCTTAAGGGATACATTTCAAGACCTATCATAGAGTGCATCTTTGGCATGTCTACAGGCAACAATTACTCCCAGGGTGTTCAAGATTCAGCCTCTGGAGGAGTGTGCCAAAGCTACCGCTGCAACCGTGCAGCAGAGGGTGATATCCATAAGGAAGGGAGAGAGGACAGGAGGAAGACATGCAAAGCAGTTCAGAGAAAAGAACCTGTCAGGAATGAGCCTCTGAGCAATGCAGCTGTAGCTCAGTGTCTCCATTCCTGCATATGTCTGAATGAACATGCTTCAACTAGAGGGCAAAACTCTCCCGATGCCCACTATATGGCTCCTCTGTTAAGTCATGTTTAATGCAGATTAACACACAATGTTCTCCTTCTATGTACAAAAGACCATACATTATCATGGGTCTGCTAGTAATGTAAACGCAGCATCAGATAAAACACTTAACAAAACCCTTCAGGGAACTCTCTTGAGTTTTCATTTGACCCTGTTACATAAATTTCATTCCCACACCTTGCATACTTAACATAACCACAGTTTTGTTGAACCAAGGTAGAGACGCTGTTAATTACGTAATATGGAGCAGGACCATACTCAGGCTACAGCGAAGGTCTCATCTAGTAAAACAATCTCAGTTGAAGACAGGGAAGATGCTGCTTCTTTTTCAAGATAAAGTGGAGGAAGTCAACTTCATCAGTGAGTAGTGAGAAACATCTCATTAGAATTAACAGTGTTGTGCTGAGGTGATTTAAAATTAACTGAATTTATTCAAAACTCATTTTCAATGAGCGTTGGACTCCGCCAGGGCTGTCCTTGGTCACCCACTCTGTTCATAACTTTTAAGGACAGAATTTCTAGGTGCAGCCAGGGTGTTGAGAGGGTCAGGTTTGGTAGTCTCAGAATTGTGTCACTGCTTTTAGCAGATGACTTGGTCCTGTTGGCTTCATTGTGCTGTGACCTTCAGCTCTCACTGGATTGGTTCGCAGCTGAATGTGAAGTGGCTGGGGTGAGAATCAGCACCTCCAAATCGGAGTCCATGGTTCTCGGCTGGAAAAAGGTAAAGTGCCTTCTCCAGGTCGGAAATGAGATCCTGCCCCAAGTGGACGAGTTTAAGTATCTCAGGGTCTTGTTCACGAGTGAGGGAAGAATGGAACTGGAGATTGGCAGGCGGATCGGTGCAGAGGTGAAGAGGGAGCTGAGCCGAAAGGCAAAGCTCTCGATATACCGGTCAATCCACATTCCTACCCTCACCTATGGTCATGAGCTGTGGGTAGTGACCAATAGAACAAAATTGCAAGTACAAGCGACCGAAATGAGTTTCCTCCGCAGGGTGGCTGGGCACTCCGTAAGAGATAGGGTGAGAAGCTCAGTCATTCAGGAGGGGCTTGGAGAAGAGCTGCTGCTCCTTCACGTTGAGAGGAATCAGATGAGGTGACTCCTGGACGCCTTGCTGGTGAGGCGTTCAGGGCATGTCCCACCAGTAGGAGACTGCGGGGGAGACCCAGGACAGGCTGAAGAGACAATGTCTCTCAGCTGGCCTGGGAACATCTCGGGGTCCCCCAGGAACAACTAGATGAAGTGGCTGGTTAGACTGCTCCCCCTGTGACCTCCCCCAACTCTGAATAAGCGGCTGAAGATGGATGGATGGATTTATTCAAATATCTTGAGTTTTGTGAAATTCACATTCTACCACATCACTGCCATACTGATGTCCAGCACAGCAGCATGATTTAAGTGTAATATTCCTAAAGTAATGTATAAAGTCCCAATATAAATGTAAACACATTTACAAAAGTTTGTCATGAACACAACCATTTCCATCAGTACACTAGGGATAAAGCCTGTTACACTCTTTCTTCTTTTGTCTTGATTTTCACGTCAAAGCTAACCAAAATTGCCAATTTGCACTCCTGCAGTTTTTTTGTTATTTGATTGTGCTTTTTGAGTCATATGCTATATATTTTTGCTGCATCCAGTGAGCAATATGATGAAAGCCTTTATCTGTGTTTTGTTCCACGAGCCAGGTGGAATCCAGTTTCCACTAACGAGGTGTTACTACTGAGAGGAAATCATGATACTGTGTCTTATGAATTTTGTGTATCTTATGCATTTTTTCCATATATGTGTGTAGCAGCCAGCGAAGGCACGCGTGTCAACAAAATGTTTGGCCAGGCTTCAAAAGAGAGGGGATTTGGCTGAGGAAGAGAGGCGGCTCTATATATCCTGCTCTGCCTGGCTGTCTGTCTCCTTCTCTGTTTGTCTGTCCTTTCTTCTATCACCACACTTCCTCTGTGCTTTCTTGCTTTGGTAATCTCTTCAACTCAATAACAACGGCCTCATGGACTACCTGATCTTCTACTTAATGTGGCCTATCAAGACTAATAGGCTTGTACTTACATTACCTGTAAGTAAAGCATACTGCTCCTACTATCGCTTGTGTTTTTCCTTGAGTGACCATTTTTCTGAAAATCCCTTTCACCTCCATGTCACGTTGCAGCCTGAAGATACACATCCCCAATCTCATTAGTAACACTGCAGTATGCATGAATGTCAGCACAAGAGTGTATGCATGTTTCAAAGCACTGAAGTGTGTAATTAGCAGGTCCGCTACATTATAAGATCATTAAACCTTTACTCTCCATCATTTTACTCAGTGTAGTATTCCTCAATCCTTATTTCCTTGTTTCATCAAACACCTGCTCACTTGCATTCTGCCGTCACTGTAACTCAGAGTCATGTCTTTCCTTTTATGCAGATCTTAATCGTTGAGTCTGATATCTTGACTCTGAAAATTCTGGTTTTAGTGGCCAAGGCTGGGGCGGGGACAAAGGCAGGGGTGGCCGAAAAATGGATGCAATGATTTTGAAGATGGTTGAAGACGCAGGTGTGAATGGGGTTTTCAGCTTAGTATGAAGGGACTACCTTGGAATGAAAGGAATAAGCATATGGCTGTACCAAGAAATTAATTGTTTTAAAGTAGAGGGTTAAGATGAAGATGCAGCAGAAGAAAGAAAAGAGTCAGTCAGTACATTTACATGCACGTTTAAGTCGAGCTATAGTCACCATCATCCTTGTCCAAGTTTACAAGCACTGGGCAAGGATCAAATTACTTA